TATGGCCAATAGCTTATGTTTCACTAGGCAAGGAGTAGATCCATCTAGACCATTGGCTTTGAACAATTTTAGGATTTGGGCCATGCTTAAATCCATTGAATCAAGAGTCTTCTTTTCACTCAAGATGGAATGTGAGTAAAAAAATAAGAATTAGTCTTTAAATTGGAGATCATGACCCTAGCTCATTATAATAATAAAATAAAATGTTTACTTTGTACACTTAATAAATTCCATACAAAAAAATAATGAGATGCTTTAAAAGTCAAATAATAATTAATTTTTGATTTGATTACAATTTAATAAGCTTAAAAAAATAAGATAGTATCTAATATATAACTTAATATTTATATGAATCCATTAAAAAAAATTAACATGTTCTTGATTTATATTAGTCATTAAGAACTTGAGATGAGAGAAAATTGTGATGTTATTTACAATCAGGGTGCTACAGTCACCTCTTATGATTTTAGTGGTGAAAGATGTCTTCAAAAATAACTCAATAATAATTAGCACAATAGCTAACCAATATGAAATAGAAAAAGTTATGATACAACATAGTAAAAAAAAATTAATTTTTTTTTTACAAAAAATACATTTTCTATATGACACAGCATCACCGTTTATCTTTTTCTCATTCTTTAATTTTCTATTAAAAAAATTACATTATTGGAGCACCTCTTGACAATATATTATATTAGACCCAATACTTAAGCTACTATGATTTATATTATTTGATTTAAAAAACTTAAAATATTATGAGAAAAACGATTACGTTTCTTTATTTTTAATAATGAATTAGAAATTTATTATAACTATAAACTAACTGCAAAGCAAATAATTTTGTTACGTACATTCAAAACATATAAGATTATAAATGTTAACTAAACGCATTAACATAATATATTAAGTGATTCATGACATAATTGTTTGACAAATTTTACGTTGGTTGTCAGATACCTAATGCAATCCTCTACTTTTCTCATCTAATACTTTAGACCTGACAAAACAATGCCAGGAACAAGTGTAGAGGGATAAAGTCTTGGTGATATTGTTGTTTTTACATTGTAACTAGATTCATATTAATTAGGAACAAGCATTTTTCTATTTGGACTTGAGCTTCTTCTGCAGAAGTCCTCTCTCTGACTAATTGATGCCAATGCAACGAAATATACCATGCCACTAAACTTCAGAGTAGCAGCACTCTTGCTGTAATTTTTCTATTGTCACTAATTAGTCAAACATAACAAATATGTCTTCTAATGCATTAATGATTAATTTAGGGGTAATATCAAAGTTGATTATGAGAATTTTAAGATTAACTCTATTACAAACACAACACAAATCTAATTAAAGATAACCCTAAGATGTTTGTACTAGATAACGCTCAGCAAGTTAGACTGCACTAATGTTTACTCTATGAAAAACTATCATGCCTGCATTAATGAAAGCAGTTAAATGTTGAACATCTGCTACATATGTTGTGTACTCAAATACTGATATAATCAACTTGGGGCATCTTCAATCGAAAAGTTTAATTTTTACTCCAAAATACAATAAGGGACATGTCAAACAATAATTATCTACAACCGAACTCCATTTCTAACATTAAAAAAGAATATTAAGTGTAAATTATTTCTCTATTTTTTTTCCTAAAAAAATACAATCATGAACAATATGACACTAATATTGAACACTCGCGCGAACTGCAAACTCCCACCAAATGACATGCATTTGGATATGCCTTAAACCTTGAAACTCTTACTCTCGGTTCTGCTCCATATCTTCGTTCGAAAATAATTAATTCTAATAAAAGAAATCATACCAAATTAAGTAAATATGATCAATGCTTCATGCCTACATGCATTAGCTTTCATATCCATAGGAATAAAACAACAACATCAAGTCTTTATCCCACTACGTGTGGCCGGCTACATGAATCCTTTTTTATCCATCGTGTCCTGTTAAGAATCAAATTCTCATTTAAATCTAATAAAGAAATGTCATTTTAATGTTTTCTAACCAAATCTTTTTAGGTCTACATCTACCTTTCTTAACATAGGTTAAATCAAATACATCTACTCTCCTAACAGGGTCATTGGAAGGCCCTCATTTTACATGACCAAACCAACCTATGCTCGTTTCGTGTCCTGTCTCTAAGAGTAAATTCACTTATCCACCTGAGTATCCTTATCTTAACAACACTTAATATTGCACTTCTTTTTAATGTCCAACATTCTACGCAATAGAGCATTGCAGGTCTCACCACCATCTTATAAAATTATCCTTTAAGCTTGAGTGGTACTTTTCTATCACACGACAAACTCGAAGCATCCAACAAATCTAAAATGAGTACACTTATTAATGACTTGTTCACTTAAAGTTACAAACCCCTACTAGATCTATTAATATGAAAATTATACTTCATACATTCGGTTTTAGATGTACTTAAACGTAAACGTTTAAACTGTGAGGTTGAACTCCATAATTCAAGTTTACCTTCAACTCCCTCTCTAATCTTATCAACAAGAAGAATATCATCAACAAAAATTATACACTATGGTACATCCTCTTGCAACTGTCTAGTAAGAACATCCATGACTAAAGCACAAAGATAAGAGCTTAAGGTTGATCTTTGATGTAATCCAATTGAAATAGGGAAATACTTGATTAAACCACCTTGTGTTTGAACACAAGTAATACATACATATCCCTAATGACTTGAATATAAGCATTATTAATCCCTTTCTTTTCTAGAATTCTCCATAGCACTTCTCTTCAAACTTTATCATATGCTTTCTCTAAATGAATAAATATCATATTTATATCATCCTTGTTCTCTCTAAACTTCTCCATCAATTGAAAGATATAACTCCCTTCATCATTCAATACAATGAGAGAGAGAGAGAGAGAGAGAGAGAGAGAGAGAGATAGAGAGAGTTAGCACAATGAATTGTAACATCTGAAATTTAGAGAGGATTTGATATTTACTCATTTAGAGGATTTGATATATATATATATATATATATATAACATCTTACAACTGTTTAAACAGATAATTGAGCCCAATCTTGGCCGAGCCCAGCAAAGAACTAGTTTATACGCATAGAGCTAGGCCACGGCCGGCCCAGCCGAGGAAGCCCACCAATACTATTGTACTTTAATATCCATTAGTATATATAAACGAAAATATCAAAACCTCTTATTAGTAGTTCCTCCAAATAGTTGTGGGACGCTTCATTTCTCGAAAGTTGAACAAAGTTGTATTTTTAGCATTTCTTTAGTTAATAAAATTAAACAATGTACGATACTTTATTTGTCCTATTTCAAATGTCTTTGTGTATCTCTTTGTATATAGGGGTTGATAAATCATATCATCATTATCTTTTCTTAGCACTAAAATTCACATAGTCTCTCTCTCTCTCTCTCTCTCTCTCTCTCTCTCTCTCTCTCTCTCTCTCTCTATTTGAGCTTATTTCTTTAATTAATCTCCCACTCTCACCAGTTCTGCTAATAAATAGGATTAATTTATCTGCAAATGTACAATGTACTCTCTAGGTCATTTTTTGGGCAAATTATTGCATCCAGTCACCGGACGTCGAGATAGGTCCGGATATTAATAAAATATTATTTTAAATTAAGCGCATCAAAAGCGCAGGTCAAAGCGCAAGTCAAAAGCGCAGGTGACGTGGCAAATTTTTATTGGATGTCCGAACCTATTCTCCGCGTCCAGTGACCGGATGCAATAATTTGCCCATTTTTTGTGAATTCAAAAAATCATTTGATTTTGACTAATTTTCAAATATGCTATAAATTATACACCACTTACTCAATTGTTACTGACAAATTTGCTATAGTAATGCTAATCGATGCCAAAAAAAAAAAACATTAAATAAAATATTAAATTTAGCTACTATATATTTAGGTAAAAAAGTTTTATTTAGCAAACATAAATATTTCTTCTCTTATATATGGGGTATCAATTCATAAAAAATGATATAAGATGCATATAATAAATATTTTATGTTAAAAAATTTGTGACGATAGTCGATGGGGATTGAGAGTTATGTCTTAACTTGCTTGAAGATCTTTTATATATATATAAAGACAAAATTATATCTTTCTAGATGATGAAGATATCTAAAATTGAACTTTGAATAGAGAAATCAGTTGGTCTTGCTCAATTAGAATGCAATCTACAAAGCAGGACTATTGAGACTATTTATGGATGTGGCAATGTTGATGAGAGGGTAGATGTTGGTGAATGATGTAGGCGAAGGGAAACAATTCAAATCAAGACTTTGATCACCTAGGAAGGTGGGCGATGTTTGTAAACAAACACTTGATGTTTGTGAAGGTCGACAAGTAGCATTTATGGCGCTGTTATGTTTTAGATCTAACTTCGAAAGGATTAGCGTTCATGCACTTCAGTATAAATAAAAATTCAAATTTTGCATTTTCAATTATTTTCATAAATTTGAATTGTTACAAAGCCACTCGATTTAGCTGTAAGCTTGTCAAATTTGGAGATCATTTGGCTTTCTAATAAAAAAGTTTTTAATAGTACTTCAAGTGATTAGTTTTGAGCTTATTTGGGTTGTCTCGTTGTGACATTCTGATTGACTATAAATTTAATGAAGTTAAGGTTTAGATGATCTTGAATTTAAATTTGAAAATTTTCAATTCAAATATTTCATTGAGATTTTTGCTGACCATGTGAATATTTTGTAAACTTGTCGTATACCAGCCAAATTTATTTGGTTGAATGTTAATAAATTTTAATCAATTTTACTTTAATTAAGTAAATTATTAGTAATACCAAAAAAAGATTCCTATTATTCATTAATTGATAATTTATTAAATTAGTTACATATATTAAATTTTTTAATCAAACTAAATTATGAAAAAAAAATATTTTTTAAATTAATTAATATTACTTATTAAAATCAATTTTGTTTTAATTAATAATTTTATTAAGTTAATAATAAAATCCGAAATCATGCCTCTGTACCGCAAATCCCCGTCTCCCTATATTCTATTTCCCGAAACCCTTGACGACGAGGAAGACGCAACGGGAGCTCGCTGAAGAAGGCATCGACGGGAACAGGGCTTGTGAAGAAGAAGAGGAATTCGTGAGACGAGCGGATTTAAGTTTAATCCGCACAATACCAGGATTTACTAAATTCGGAATTTAAGGTTCTGTAGGATATAAGTTGTCATTTTTGAACTCGGGAAGTCAACGAAATCAAGGCATGGGGAAGAACGATTTTCTGACACCCAAGGCGATTGCGAACAGGATCAAAGCAAAAGGGCTGCAGAAGCTGCGATGGTACTGCCAAATGTGCCAGAAGCAGTGCCGGGATGAGAATGGCTTCAAGTGTCACTGCTTGAGCGAGAGCCATCAGCGCCAGATGCAGGTCTTCGGCATGAATCCTAATCGGGTCATTGGGGGATATTCGGAGGAGTTTGAGCGCACTTTCCTCGACCATATGCGCCGTTCCCACCGGTTCTCCCGCGTAGCTGCCACTGTCGTCTACAACGAGTACATCTCGGATCGTCACCACGTTCACATGAATTCCACGGAGTGGGCTACCCTCACCGAGTTCGTTAAGTATCTTGGCCGCACCAGCAAGTGCAAGGTCGAGGAGACCCCCAAGGGCTGGTTCATCACTTACATTGATCGGGACTCGGAGACGATCTTCAAGGACCGCCTCAAGAACAAGCGCATCCGGTCTGATCTCGTCGAGGAAGAGCGTCAGGAACGTGCCATAGCCCAACAGATTGAGCGCGCTGTAGCCTTTCTCCCTTCCACATCTGACTCCGTTGAAGAGAATAATAATCCTCCCCAATCTGATGACTCCCAGCTCCCACCGCCCAAATCTATGGAAAAGATTATGTTTTCAATCCAGCCCTCCTTGGTTGCATCTTCAAAACCTAACGTAGCAGCGGATGGGAGCGGCATTCCTATGAGTAGCAACTCAAACTTAGGGTTTGGTGAGGATCCTGAGTCTGAGGAGAAGGCTAAGAAGGCCAAGACTGCTTCTGCAAAAGGCAATTCTGGTAATGCAGGTAGTGGTGGCAAATCGGCACTGGATGAATTGATGAAGGAGGAGGAGAAGGCAAAGGAGAGAATGAATAGGAAGGACTACTGGTTATGTGAGGGGATTGTGGTGAAGGTAATGAGTAAGACGTTGGCAGATAAGGGATACTATAAGCAGAAAGGAGTTATACGGAAAGTAATTGATAAGTATGTAGGGGAGATTGAGATTCTGGAGAACAAGCATGTGTTAAGGATTGATCAGGAGGAGCTGGAGACGGTTATTCCACAGATTGGAGGTCTTGTCAGGATTGTGAATGGGGCTTATAGAGGTTCAACTGCAAGGCTACTTTCTGTTGACACTGAGAGGTTTTGTGCAAAGGTTCAAATTGAGAAGGGGGTTTATGATAGGAGGGTCCTTCAGGCTGTGGATTATGAGGATATCTGCAAGGTTTATTCATGAGGGACTTCATATGCTCAGGTTTGTTTTTCTTATGGTAATAGGCTGTTAGTTCTAAGGTATGCTCATCTTTTCCTCATATTGGCTTTTTTAGTAATCACTTATGTTATGGGATGCTTCAATTAAAGAGTATTCAATGGCTTTTGTATTTGATATTTGAAGATATATAATTACCTTTCCTCTACCTGTTGTCTGTAAGCAAGCTTGATGTATTGTGTTTTCAATTTTTCGTAAACTTTACTAGCGAAGAGTGAGTCTACTATTAGTGGTCATTTAAACCATGTATACTTAGGGGTTTTGCATTGTTATGGTTTTAGCCATTTCACTGTATACTAAATTGTTCATGATCAGAATCATTAGCTTGTCAAATTTTTATGCGCTATATGTACATTCTATTTTTCAATGTGCTTGAAGGGGAAGTAACTGATCAGAACCATGTATATCTATTGGATCCAATATTAATAATCTTCGTGGAATGAAATTACATTTAAAGATGTTATTGCAAGAGAATATTGAGTAAGTTTAATCTTTTTTTAGTTAAATATTCATGTCATTTAAAAAGAACATATCTAATCTTTGAGGCTCTAGCCAATAAATGTTTGTTTTAGGGTGTTTTGATGTAGGTAGGCTTTACTTTGTGTTTAAAGATGTTTCTATGGCTTCGAATCTTTAATTTCTAGTGCAGAATGGAGTCAGCGGATCATTGCTTAAGGCTTGCCCACTGTGTCATGTAGCACATGACAATTGATAATATATGCTTACTTTGAAATTGCCCAAAGTTATTGGATGTAAAGGCAGATTTTCAGGACTGTTGAATCCAAATACTACTTGAGTTCTTCTGGAGCTGCTGGATGAACCATTACACAAAGCCACCTACTTGAGTTGCTTATATTAAAGCTTGGTTTTATGGTTTTGTTTGAAAGTATGAGAAATTTCAGTTGTCTTATGTCAACAACTAAATGATTCTTTGTTTGTAAAAATAGTTTTTAGGTTAAATCTTCCCTTTTGATGCATAAAAAGACAATGCTATTTGTGTTTCTAGAGAAAAATGGAGATGACTAGGGAAATATTTATTTATTTGTTAACTTTCTTGTACATGAATAGATTGATTAAATAGAACGTAACTGAGCTGAATCGATAGTGTTACAATTGATTCATTTTCTTTCAATTAAAAAATTGCTCCATGTGTTGTCTTTGGTCTTTTAAAAATGGTTAAATTGTGCTTGAAAAGGAAGCTTGCTATTAGGATGATAATCATACTATTAGGTTGGGTTTTTAGACACTTTTGTTGGTGATTTGGTTTGACATTAGCTCTCATCCCATAATTGGTCAGATTAAGTAGGAGTTAATCTGTTTTCTTGTATGGCCTGGCTAACGGTCCTCTGTGTTTTTTGTTTCTTGTTTTTCTTTGATGCACAATTGTACATGCAAGTATAAAAGAGTTGAGATAATTATTGCTAGATTTATCGATCTAAAAAGTTTTAAAAATGATTCAAGGATGCTTCAAGTTGAACTTAATGCAAAATTGACTTAAAACTCCCTGATTAATCAACCTATTACTTTTTTAAAACTTTATTGCAAGACATGTATGCGGATTATATAATTTAAATTGAACTAAATTTTCTTTTAACCACACAAATTCTATCTACATACTGTTGGGATTAACTAGAAAAGGAGAGAAGTGTTGTAGGCTATAGAATTTCGGGGAGAGTATTAGCATTTAATGGATGGTTTTACCCCCAAGTAACTCCATTGACTGATTATAGTTCTAGCATAAACTCCAATAATTTTTTAGAGCAATCCTTCTTAGGCCTGATGTTTTAATTCATGCCAAATCAAATGATATAAAAAAGTTTTTGTATAATAATATTATAATTTTTTATTTGAGAAAGTTGTTTTATGAGTGAGGAAGTATTTAGGAAAAGAAACCCAATTTAATGGCAAAGTTTTTTGAACCCTAGCCTTGTCATAATAGGGAAGGAGCTCTTGGTTGTTTGAATGGGTGCTTTTAGAAAATCATTTAGCTAAAATTCCTTGAGGATGTTTCTCTACAGGTGGGCCATATTATGTATCTTTGTTCATATGTTTTCATACATAAGTATCCCTTGTCATATGCCATGTCAGTCTAAGTGGGCATACTACATCAACTTCACTCCATCCACATTCTCCTTTAATATGCTATCTTTTTTTAAACTTCTCCTTTTTCTCGTTTATATTACAAAAAATGGTCGACCCTGTCATGAAATTCAAATCATTATATCTCTCAACAATTCCTTACATAAATTAAAACTCAGTCTACATTAAAATTAATGATATATGAATATTTGTTTTGAGTTGAATAATTTCTAAAGAAAAATTCCTTTTAAATATTTTTCATCATTGGTTAAATAATTGTGATGGTCAAATTTAATGATGAAGTTATTAATGTTCTAAGATAGTTTTTTCAGGAAAAGCAAATCTTAGCATTTATGTTAAACCAAACTTTATGTATGTTACAATAGCCATTTGTCACAAGAAGATTGTTATAAAGTTTTTGGATTCATTTGGTACAGGTTATGATTTTCCTGTATGCCATAAAAAAATTTAATATTTCCCTATGCGTTATAGTATGTATTTTGCTTTTAAAAAAAGCATCTCTTTTAACAAATTGTGAAAAAATTGAGAAATGTAGCCCTCTATTTTCATCTAACAATATGTAGAAATAAGTCAAAATATAAGATCTGATGGCGGAGTGAGAAAGTATAATATGCCACTATGGAAAAGAAATATGCTTTTAATCTATGGCATGGAAAGTATTGTTGAAACATACAATTATAAGCTAGAAATTATGCAAAAATCGCACTTAACAATTTCAAAGTTGCTATTTTAGATGATTTGCTTATTATGCAAGGCTTTAAAGAAGGAAAAGACAAGATGCATTAATAGCTAAGTAGGAAAAGAAGATTTAAGGACTTTTAGAAAGTTAGATGTATCAAGAGTGAAGATAAATCTTAGTTACAAATGACGACATGTTAGAACAATTAAATTGCTATTGTGAGAAATGATTTAATGAAAATTCTAAGGAATAATTTTCTTTGAATGTTAAAAATGAACATAATCTTGAAATATACTATAGGATGATAAAAAATGTAGAGTTGAATTTGCTTAAAAAAAGTGAGAAGTTGGAGCTTCATTTAAATGAGATATCTATTGAGATTCAGGGAATTATGGCAGATATGCAGTAATTTGGTTAATAATTTTTTAGCAAAGCCCTAATGAGATATTATTAGAAAATATGTATTGTGGTACTCGTTTTTGGGAAGAGTGTTCTAGCATGGTAAATGGAAGGTGATCCATTTATAAATAAATAAATAAATAAATAAATAATAAAAATAAAAATAAAAAAAAGGATCAAAGTTGGACAATAATTATATGGTAGGGTAGTGGAACATAAACTTACAAAATTAGGTTGGTATTAGAGAATCAGTTTGTTTTATTTTCAGAATATCTATATGAAGATAATTTTTTAATCAAGGAATTTATAAAAAAATATAAAGTTAATCAAAATGTTTTTCGATGACTTTTAGTGATATTAAAAATATATAATTGAGTACCTTGCGAATTAATTTCATTAAGATTAAGAATAAATCAATGCTATATTTATTAAATAAAATTATATGATGTAGTAGTGATTAAAATTAGAAACATTTGTAAAAGTTGTCAAAATGCCTCCAATCAATGTAGGAATATGTTAAATAAAATTATATGTAGTAGTGATTAAAATATATATATATATATATAATTATATATAAAATCTCATATTAAGATTTAATATGAGGTGCAATACTATATGCTATAATGTGAATTAGCACTTGTTGAATATAGGTAGTATAAAATAATTTTAATTTATTTTGGCATATACAATGGAGGGCAATATATGGTTATTAAATATGCTATACAAACATATTTTAAGTTCGTTTAGCTAAGCAATTTAAAGTCCTGTAAAGGCTTATTCTTGCCTTAATTTGTAAGGGTTTTTGTAGGGTTATCTATTAAGGGTCATTTAGGAACATCTAAATAAAATATTAAAATAAATAAGTAGATCAATTTGGATTAGGAATTATTGTGGAGATGCTCGATAATGTGTCGATCGTATGAGTGGCAATCATGGGTAAAGGTTGTTAGTGGCGAGTAGAGTAGCGATGTTAAGTGATGATGGTTTTGGCGTCCAATGGTAGATGTCGATTTTGTCAAATGTGGGTATTGGGTTGTGGCATGATTTTTAAAGTATCATTAGGTTTACAAGTCTATCCCTAGTTCGACCGTCATTTTTAATCTTGTGTATTTTTTTAAAGCCCATTAGTGGAAAGCTTACAAACAAAGATTGTAGCCTTACCCTTTTGACTCCGCTGGGGATGAAGATGAAAAATAAAGTAAATAGAACTTCTGTTAATGGATTAGAAAGTAAAGTGGATAGAAAAAAATATAAGATGGCCATAATTTGTATAAAATGACTTACACATATATAATTGAGTTAGCATTTGATATAACATTCAATAATTATGAATGGAGGCTGATTCATAAAGTTGATCCCAAATAATTGGGATAAATTTGTTGATAATGATGATAATGAAGATTATTATTATTATGATATGAATAAGTAAAAAAAAAACATGAACAACTAAAGTGTTATCCATACAAGAAATGTGTTTGCTACTCGTCGGATAAAATTTAATATTTTAAGATCTTATTAATCACCATTGCCACATATGTCCTTTCGAAGTGGTTATAAACTCCTTAACAATCTATTTATTTTATTTCCTTCATAGAAGATTTTGTAGAAATCAGCCTTATCTAAACCATTTTTTTGAATTTTTTTCATTTCAACTAAGTCCCATTCTGAAAGTTTTAGTTAAACTTTTAGTGCTTCGACAATTTTAGTTAAATAGAGAGATATTAGAAGAAACCCCATTAAAATTCGAAATGAAACCCAAAAGCTGCAGCAAGTTTGGCCTTAAGAGTAATGTAGAGGAGCAGGGAATAATAAAGCAGAGAATGTCAAATTTGTAATTGCATTAAAAAGGATGTGATTAACCTTTTTGCTAGCACCATTGTAGAAGTTATAGGTTGCATGAGCTAGAATGCCACGATGAATGAGAGTATAAACAATTTTTAGACCCCCAGCCAAAAGATAACAACCAAGCAAAAGCTAAAAATTTCAAAGAATAATGTTTATGCCAAATAAATTTGTTCTAGGTCGCTTGATGCAAATTCACATAGTATTGATCAATTAACTTCTTGAAGGTAGGCTTTTCAAGAACAAATAATTTCATGCAGTCCATCTTTACAGTAGAAATAGGGATAGCCAGACTAATGTCACAGAAATGAGGAGGAATTGAGGGGGGAAGGCACCAACTGCTGTCAACAATGATTTCAGAAAGACGGGAGTTGACAGGGAATGCAATAAACATATTAGCAACATCCACCAATTCATATAAAGCTTTGCGGTTATATCAAGGGTCCCGGAACAAAATGGTAGCACTATTGATAAAAATGCAGAGAGATGTGTTGCTTTTAACAGAATCAGCCAGCTATTTGAGATTTTTTGAAAAAGGATAGGTTTTAGGAGAATTAGGCTTCCAAGAAGTAACATATTTATATTTCCACCAATAAGTAAGAGTGCTATTAAAATTTTAAAAGCGTCAAATTAGAGAGTAGTTGTTGGCAAGTATTAAGGCAAAGAAAGCAGAAATGCCCAGGCCACCAAATTCTTGCTGTGTTATCCCAAGATATACGATGTAACTTCTTTGTTTTAATATGAACTAGGAATCTAGCACACTTCTTATTGACAGATTTAAAACAAGCTTGAGCTATAATGGCCCCACAAATCTAGTAAGCAATAATATTTTAAATAGTGAATATCACAAAATGCAATCGCTCAGCAAAAGAATGGTTTTAGCTTTCCAACTATCCAACAGGTAAGAAATTTTGTGAATTAGCAGTTGGAAATCCAAGCTATGGAGCCTCTTTATGGAAATATGAATGCCCAAATAGATCATAGAATCATTAACTAAATGAAGATTTAAGATTTCACTAAGTTCACCTTGGTTTGTGGTTTGCATTAAAAGAAGATAGAACTTTTGGCTACATTGATG